GGGAGCCCTGGGAGATCAGCATCACCCTGCACCCCGCCACAGCCCAGGACCAGGACTCCCAGTATGTCCGCTTCACCCTGGTGCTCGCTGTGCCCCCCCAGGTAGGCTGCCGGCCCCCGGCACCCTCCTTCTTCCCCACTCCGGGCCTTTCCACCTTCCCTGTTGTGCTCTGGGTGTTCCTCTTTTTTTCCCTAGTATCCCAACAAAGCTCCAGAAATCTCGATCAAGAACCCGCGGGGGCTGTCAGATGAGCAAATTCAAAAGTGAGTGCTGGGAAGAGGGGAGAGGGTGGTGCTTTCCTCTGGAGCCAGGAGGCAGAACTGGTGGAAAAGCCTTCTCCCAAATTCACGTGTCTCCCTGTGTCTGATTAACAGATTGATACAGGTCTCTAAATCACCTTGTCTGAAATCTCACAGGAGCTGCTGGTGCTGAGTTTGACACTGAGGGGTCCACCCTATGGTTTTTCTCCTGTGCCCCCCGCCTGGACTGTAATCTAAATCCCCTGGGCCTTTGAAGCTGTTGGTCCTGCTTTGGCAGAGGTGGGGCTGAACCGAGTCCTTGGGCAGCCCGTTGTTGCCTTTGTCTCCTGTCCTTGGTGCAGAGAGACCCTGGTACCTGCCACAGGTACAGGAGCAGCCCAGGAGTAACGTGGCTCCTGCCAGACCTGCTCAGGGGCTGCCCTCAGAGAGACAAAGCCTGAGATTCACCAAGACCGAGGGGTGCTGGGTGAGCTTGAGCCAAGGCAGTTGGCAAACCTGCTCTCACAAGTCCTCTGAGGATAAAGGCTTCCTGTGCCACCAGCTTGCGGGGAGCCAGGAGAGTGAATACCTATGCCCATCCCATGCTCCAGGCAAAGCCTGCAGGCCAGTGCTCTGTTTCTTCCTTCTGTCGTTGTGGTGAGGTAACAGGTATGTGGGACAGTGAAAAGGTGTGCCTAAATCTGTGTTAAGTGCTTCTGCTGCTTTGCTGTAGGATTTCTCAGACCCTCAGAAATGTTGCTGAAGCCAGGCTGGGGACAGAAGTGCTGTATGAACTGATTGAGGTGAGAGTTGGGGGTCACCAGGCACAGACACTGGTCCGACTGCCCCAGGGGTGTGACAGCCCTGAGCCCATGGGCAGGACAGTGAGTAAAATGTTTGATTTAATGCTTCTGCAGAAGGGGAAAGAGATTCTCACTGACAACAACATTCCCCACGGCCAGTGCGTGATCTGCCTCTACGGATTCCAGGTAGGCATGTGTCCCCTGGCCCTGCGAGCTGGCTGGGAAGTGAGGCAAGAGAACAGGGAGCCTGAGGCTCGCTCAAAGCTTGGGATATTGGCCTGGGACCAGGGTGTGCCTCAGCAGCCCCCTGTCCCCATGGTCTGTAGGCGACCCTACTGAGCATGAATCTTGCTAAGGTGATTTGTGCTCCTCTTGCTATCAGCCTGAAGATAACCATCTACAGAAACGGCATAGCAGCAGCGTGTGATGCTGGAGAATCTCCAGAGGGGTGGGTCGGGTCTGGGGATAGTTGCTGGTGCATCTCGGCTTCCCTGTGGTGTTGAAACCTCACCTGGAGTTCAGCCTACAGGTGGTCAGAGGGGCTGGAACACGTCCGTGCAGGCAGTGAGGTCTGCGGGGACAGGGGAGCTTGCCTTGTCTGGGGTGCAAGGAGAGGCAGTGCCTGCCTAAGAAGGACACGTCAGCGGGGAAGAGTGCTGCTTACACAGAACACGTGCAGAGAAATCAATCACGAAAACTTTGCATCTTGACATTAGAAGTGTTTCTTGCACTCAGAACAGGGAGCATTGTCGCAGTAAGAGCTGAGAAAGTAGGGATGAAGCCTAGTGGAAGATGTGATGTGGCTCTGCCAGCAGTAGTGCTCGTTCCCCACTGCCAGCACTGACAAGGGTGTGAAAACCCACCTCAGCTGAGGGGGCTACACAACCCTGTGCTCAGAAAAGCCTTTAAAGCTGCCTTTTCTCCTCTACAGGAGAGAGAAGCCTTCACAAAGACCCAGTGCTACCACTACTTCCACTCCCACTGCCTGGCCCGCTACGCCCAGCACATGGAGGAGGAGATCCTCATGCAGCAGGAGGAGAGAAAGCAGCACCTGGCGCCATCCCCCAAACAGGTACTGGGTCCTGGGGTCCCTCCCCTGGCCCCCTGCATGGCCCCCATGACACCTCTGTCACCCCCTTCGGGACATGGAGCGAGGGATAGCCTGACCCGCAGCACAGTGTCACACCCACACTTAGAATCAGAGACGGGGTTAGACCACGCAATCGCCAAGGGCCCTTCCCAACCAAACTACCCCGGGAGTTTTCAGTACTTTAGCAGTTGGATATTGGATCTCTGGGTCAGCGCCTGGCATGTGAGGGAGCAGGGGAGTTGCCTTTTTGGACTTGCGGAACCACAGGAGTTAGAGAGCTCCTGCCCTAGTGCTTGAATTGCAGGGGTTTGGAGCGGCATAAACACCATCGCCTGCCTTCTGCGGCGATAAAACCTGCCCGAGCAGGCGGCGGAACAGTTGTCAGCCGCTGAGTGGGCAGCGCAGCTGAGCGTGAAACAAGTCAAAGGCTCCTTCCGGCAAAACCCTTTCAGAGAGGTGCTGCCTAGGTGACACAGTCTGCTCTTGGAGTGGAGAAAAATAGATCCTGGTCTAGGGACTGAAGCCGTATGTGCTGGCAGAGGTGGTTTTTGCCTCATGGCGGAGACGTTTTCCGCAGCAGTTGTTGAGAAACCAGGCTGCTTTCATGCCACTGGAACGCCGCGGGGTTCCCTGCCCTGGGAGAAGAGCGAAGGCTCCGTTCCACTTCCAAGCTGGGATTTGGTATCACCTCTTGCCTTCCCGCAGGAGGTCGGTGTGCAGTGCCCTGTCTGCCGGGAGACCCTGGTCTACGATCTCTGCGCTCTGAAGGCGGCGCCGCCCCCGCAACACCCACTGGTAAGAGATGGGGAGGCTCACCCGCTCGCGGGTACCTCCAGCTGGGACATCAGGACGGATGCGTGGACGCACGCTCTCGGGTCCTCTTGGATAGACCATCCAGGAGGCGGCACACAAAACCCAGCAGGGTGTCTGCTGACTCGGGTGTGCCCAGAAAGTGCAGGTTTGGTTGATTAGCCCAGAGTCTTGAGGAGATGTGCTGGGGGAGAGGTGATTCTGCCATGGGGCATGTCTCTGTGCCCACTGGGATATAATCTGGGGCAGGAGAGAGTGACCTGATCGTAGCTGCGGTGCATCAAAGGCAGGGTGCAACCATGGGGGTTTGGGGAGTAGCTCTGGGCGCTGCCAGCT